GGTGAAATATATGCCCGCTTCACAACACTACTCTACATATTGTTGGGTGAAATATACGCTCGCTTCACAACACTGCTCTACATATTGTTGGAGTGAAATATACGCTCGCTTCACAACACTGCTCTACATATTGTTGGGTGAAATATACGCTCGCTTCACAACACTGCTCTACATATTGTTGGGGTGAATAACACTGCTCGCTTCGCTTCACAACACTGCTCTACATATTGTTGGGTGAAATATACGCTTTTCGCTTCACAACACTGCTCTACATATTGTGTTGAGTGAAATATACGCTCGCTTCACAACACTGCTCTACATATTGTTGGGTGAAATATATGCTCGCTTCACAACACTGCTCTACATATTGTTGGGTGAAATATACGCTCGCTTCACAACACTGCTCTACATATTGTTGGGTGAAATATAAGCTCGCTTCACAACACTGCTCTACACATTGTTGGGTGAAATATTTGGTGAAATATACGCTCGCTTCACAACACTACTCTACATATTGTTGGGTGAAATATAAGCTCGCTTCACAACACTGCTCTACATATTGTTGGGTGAAATATACGCTCGCTTCACAACACTACTCTACATATTGTTGGGTGAAATATACGCTCGCTTCACAACATTGCTCTACATATTGTTGGGTGAAATATACGCCCGCTTCACAACACTGCTCTACATATTGTTGGGTGAAATATACGCTCGCTTCACAACACTACTCTACATATTGTTGGGTGGAATATACGCCCGCTTCACAACACTGCTCTACATATTGTTGGGTGAAATATACGCTCGCTTCACAACACTGCTCTACATGTTGTTGGGTGAAATATACGCTCGCTTCACAACACTGCTCTACATATTGTTGGGTGAAATATACGCTCGCTTCACAACACTACTCTACATATTGTTGAGTGAAATATACGCTCGCTTCACAACACTGCTCTACATATTGAAATATACGCTCGCTTCACAACACTACTCTACATATTGTTGGGTGAAATATACGCTCGCTTCACAACACTGCTCTACAAATTGTTGGGTGGAAATATACGCCCGCTTCACAACACTACTCTACATAGCAATACTGTAAGCTGAACTATTCACTCGCCTCACAACACTACTCTAAGCGACACTACGCTAGGCAACAGTACAACAACAAGGACAGGGCGAAATGCGTGTGAAAGTTCTTACCCTTTCTGGAATTCAAGGCGGTATTTCCCACAGACAGTTCTATAACAACGCAACTTGTTTCAGCTTATAACAACCGGTATATTATAGACTGTAATACATCCGCATATTTTAGCAAGACAGTCTACTGAGTTCCTTACAAGCGACAGTAAGAGAGTCCTACTCACGGTTAGCGCTGCTTGATCCACCTGGCATTGGACTTGCTGATACTGTAAAACAACAATGGGTCATTTTCAAATTCCAATGAATGAAGTCTCCAGTTTTCTTCCATTATGATGGAATTCCAATAAACGTATGACTGTATTTCGGGCGACTGTTAGCAAAAGACAGAGACGAACATATAATTACGATTTTCTATCCAAAACAGCTATACTAGAATGTACATTTCTGCGTACAGGGTCGTGTACCATTGCTCACCTAGCAGTTTTGTTTAGAGAAGACGATGTACATTAACGTCCTTTATTGGGCAAATTCCTCAAATTGCGACCAGTGTGTATTATTGCGTTGGTCTGGATATGAACACTGATGTGACATCGTATGATCTGAATAGTATTAGAGAGTCCCCTGTTTCATTATGAAACTCTTGCTTGATAACGGTTTAAGAACCTTTATCATCCAAACTGTGTTCCAGGAGATATTGTTTGTGTGAGATCAAACGATACCGTTTTGACAGTAGATTTTGTTCAACGCCATGACGTCATCAATTACATGACTCACAATGCTATGATGTCAAAAACCTGATGACATTATAAACTTGATGACGTCACAATGTTATAACATCGTTGCACTGCAAGTTTAATGGCCATACCGTGTTTGTATATTTTTCATTGAAAACTAATGAAGAGATATTTTTGATGATAAATAGAATCTCACCCCGTGTCAACCGATATCAAATATATCAACACACGTTGATAAAAGTTAAAATATCCTCGGCAAGCCGATATATCTGATGCCAAAAGACACTCGCGTGAGATTCTCTACATACTGAAACGTCGCATCATAATATAATTAAGAAGTTTTCATTCATAAAGTATCATACCTTTCTTATCTTTCATCAACTTCTAAAATGCCAAACAAACAGAACAACTCTTTCTCAACTCCATCACACATCTCACCACACACCAGACCTCCACCCCTGAAGTCCACACCCCCAATCCACCCATAGCCCTAAACATTCACACACAGACAACAGACCCTTGAAGATCCGGGTTACAATTGATCTTCAGCAACCCATGCTTGTCGTAAAAGGCGACTGACAGGATCGGGTGGTCAGGCTTGCTGACTTTGTTAACACATGTCATCGTATCCCAATTGCGTAGATCGATGCTCATGCTGTTGATCACTGGATTGTCTGGTCCAGACTGGATTATGTACAGACCACCGCCATATAGCTGGATATTATGGTGATCTACCTTCAACTGTTGGCGATCTATAGCCCGTGTTTTATAATGTATTATCTTCTTAAATTAAAATGTTTTAATTTTACATGATAGTTTTATATTCGAATCTGTGATACTCTAGTATTTTTACTGTCCATTGTTGACAGGTTTTACTCTTCAGAATGTTTTCATCTTTTTGCATCAATTGTTTTCGTCACGATATGGCTGAGATATTGTCGATGTGACGTTAAATATAATTACCTCACCCGCTCATATTGCTGGAATATTCCTGAGTGCGGCGTAAAATTAAACTCAATCATTCACACTGATTTCATCTTCCACGGTCTCCACCCCACCCGAACGTTCATCCCATTTCAACACTACAACCCTCACCTGCGGCTGCTCTTTTGGCAGCTTTGAGATTCTTCTGGAGTACATCATATTCTGCAACCAGTTGTGCAGTCTGTTCGGGATCTACAACATCACATTTCCCTTCTTTTAAAAGCAGAAATCGACCGATATCCTCTGATGGAATACCTCAAATAACGCAGTTCCTAAATAGAACCTACGGAAATCCGCATCTGCTTGAGATATCAGTTTTGTGCAGCCTGGATAATATTACTTTGCTAATCCGTATAAGGGATAGAACACATTTGAACGTTCCAGTTAAGGATAAGCAGAACTTGGAGTGAACTTTAAATAACTGTCGTAATCATTGCCAACACTATCGTAAACGTTACACTGATATAATTTCAATTACATTTAAATGATTTCAGTGGAACAATTTAATTAAGAACTGATACAATAAAACATAAACGTATTTCTTAAAAAGAACAATTAAATTATGATCCAAATATGATTATGAATCATGGTGGATCACAATTCTTCAGTTCTGATATCATGTAAAATTAATTAGATAATATCGACAGGCACCATTCCATGACACTAAAAAAGGTAAAGATCAGGACAAGAACCAGCTGGTTCAGACGTATGTTTGGTTCAGACATATGATTGGTTCAGACATATGTTTGGTTCAGACATATGTTTGGTTCAGACATATGTTTGGTTCAGACATATGTTTGGTTTTGTGTACTCACTTGGGTTTGGATGTTTAAAATGAGTCAAGAGACGATTTTCCAGCGCCATCACCTGTGTCTCAATAGCTGGTATCGAATCAGGGCCCATGGCAGCGGAAGCTGGGAAATAACATAACAGTAAACTATAGCTACTGGGATATAACATTAAACTACAGTCACTGGGGAATAACATAGTCACTGGGGAAAACTATAGACACTGGGAACATCATTAAACTACAGACACTGGGAATAACTACAGTAAACACTACAGACACTGGGGAATAACAAAGTACTGACACTAGGGAATAACAGTCACTGGGGAATAACAGTATAACAGTAAACTATAGTCACTGGGGAATAATAGTAAACTATAGTCACAGGGGAATAACAGTAAACTATAGTCACAGGGGAATAACAGTAAACTACAGACACTGGGGAATAACAGTAAACTACAGACACTGGGGAATAACAGTAAACTATAGTCACTGGGGAATAACATTAAACTATAGTCACAGGGGAAAAACACACTGGGAATAACAGTAAACTATAGTTATTGGGGAATAACATTAAACTACAGACACTGGGGAATAACAGTAAACTATAGTCACTGGGGAATAACATTAAACTACAGACACTGGGGAATAACAGTAAACTATAGTCACTGGGGAATAACATTAAACTACAGACACTGGGGAATAACAGTAAACTATAGTCACTGGGGAACAACAGTAAACTATAGTCACAGGAGAATAACAGTAAACTACAGCAAACCAAATACAGGGAAACGCCTTTCTACCAATATAACTGAATTGCTACTAAACATTGCTGAATCGAACTCCATACAGTGTCTTTAACAATTGTTGAGGAAATGTGTTTGATATGCTTCCACATATATCTCATTTCAACATTGTTAAGAGCTTCGAGATGGTATTATAGGTATATGAACACACGTTTGTCGTAAGAGACGACTAACGGGATAGGGTGACCAGGCTCGGTTTACACACGCCTTTGAATCCCATTTACGCAGATCGATAGTCATCATTGGATTGTCTGATTCAGACACGATTATTAACAGACTGCTGCCATATAGCTGAAATATTGCTGAGTGCGGCGTTAAACAACAGACAAACAGAACAGGAATATGAGACTTATGGATTTTTTACGTGGATCTTAGTCCATACTTACGGTCTAATGGCATCCCCGCCATTCCGGACATGTCTGGCATCCCTGGCATCCCCGGGATTCCTCCCATTCCGGACATGTCTGGCATCCCTGGCATCCCCGGGATTCCTCCCATTCCGGACATGTCTGGCGTCCCTGGCATCCCCGGGATCCCTCCCATTCCGGACATGTCTGGCGTCAAAGCCGATGAGGGAGAAGCTGAAACGTTACACAAGAAATATGGCTCAAACGAGCGAGTTGTTAAACAACCCCTTGTCAAGAGGCCTCTGTACCCAGACCTTGTTTTGGCCTATCGTGACATTACTGTTTCATCTCCGTTTCATAATCTGTGTATGTAAAGCTGTGTCAGACACTATGCAAAACGTGTTGTACTATGATGTTGGTCATTAGGGCGGCTCTTAAAGCGGTTAACCCCGTATGTGTTATAACGACAACCGCATATTGCACGTGTTAATAATTACCGATTTGCGGAGACAATATTTCAAGAACGGAAAGTATGAAAACACTAGTATTTACACATTGCCCACAAACGATTGTCCTCGGGTGTGTTGGGAGCCGTGTGAAAGAGTAGTGTCTGTCTGTTAGGAAGGATGTGTGCTGGAGGTGTGCGTGCGTGCGTGCGTGTGTGTGTGTGTGTGTGTGTGAGAGAGAGAGAGAGAGAGAGAGAGAGAGAGAGAGAGAGAGAGAGCGCCTTGTAGTTAATTAGCTCGCCAGTTGAGGACCTCACGGCTGTAGAGGAATGGCTTATGACGTGTTCGAAAACGGTGTTAGTACCTACACCATTCTAAATCCACAGGACACATTCTAAATGTCACTAAAAGAAGTCCGATTACCGCCGCCATAGCTGGACTATTGCTGAGACCGGCGTTAAAGAACAGACACTCCGGTTGATGTACAAGAGAGCGACAGGGACAGCAAGAACACATGTTCCTACCTGGATTATTGGCCATCTCCATCTGTCTCTCCAGGTGCTGGAACTGCGACATCACCGACTGTAGCTGAGCTGCAGATGTAGAGGATAAAACAGTTTATTACTCATCCGTTGAAGATATCTCTGTTTAATAAATCTACAATGGCATTACACATTGTGCTGCCGGAACTATTTGCACTCGGTTACATGACCAAAGTAACATGAGCAAAACAAAATGTCCACTGTCATTCACATTCACATAATCGCGATATTTAACTGTTCTGAGAAATTCCTTGCTAATGTTAAGTGAGTAATAAATAAAATACAAAAACGATGCCCCGTGTATTACCATATTTATGAAACTCGCTATCTCTTGTTAGATACCAAACCGTTCACTCGTTTCATAAATATGGTATTGGGACATCGACTAGTATTCTCTATTTATTCCACTGGAAGGACCGTATTATTTCGAGGCGTGGAAAGTAACTAAGAGGGTATGATTCTACGAGGCTTTAAGCAACATTCCAGCAATACTACAGCAGGGACACCAGAAATGGGTTTTACATTGTACCTATGTGAGGATTCGAACCCAGCTCTCCGGCTTTACGAGCGCACACCTTAACCATTAGGCTACCCTACTGCCCCATGCCACCTGGAGTCGATGGTACATTTGCTGACCATGCAACACTCTTTGACACGAGATGTTGTAATATTCCATCAATTTCTGGTGTCCCCCGCCGAGATATTGCTGGAATATTGCTAAAAGCGGCGTAAAAGTAAACTCACTCACTCATCCGGTGGCTTGTATACCGACGACTATTTATACATTACCACCATCTGAGGTGTGATGTACATGTGACATACATAGGTTTGGTTGTCCAGGTGACAGCGACTGTGTCAACATTTACCTGGTGTTGGGTTCGGCATTGATGAGAGTTTGCTGTCTAGAGCGGCGAACTGCTGGAGAAGCTGGGCTTGTGTTGGGGTTGATGCTGGACCTCCTAAGCCCGCGCCTAAAATGAAAGATTTGGGTAAATGTATTAATTTGAAAGTTACTCTGGCAAAATACTTATTGCCAGTCAAGTGAAAATGTACGAGAAGTACGACAGGTCAGTAATTAACATAAGGGGCGAGCACTTGCAGCAATCCTTGTCCTTCCATTGGAATTGACAAGTCCAACTTTTACGTTTGAAGTTCATTTATATGAAATAATTAGTACATACAAAATAAGCATCTATGTTCTTATCTGGAGTGATTACTGTCCCAACGCTCCCTGATTCACCTGAACAATTATACGCTAAACTAGAGACAAATACTTGAATATGTAATAAAACGTATATACGACAAGCAAACGCAAGTTCTTTCTCGAACTATTTCCCGTCATAGTTCGCATAAGAACTTCATTCCTTTAATTCCTCATAACCTTAAATAAACGTCAAGGCCGGAAATGTAGGCTCCTAAATATCGATGAATGCATATCACTGATGTTTCATTGGCATTTAACGACTAACACGAGCCCTTTGAAAAGTTTTGCACGTTTAAGCACTTGTATTTACCAGGCTGGATATTTTACGACTAACACGGCCCTAAATACAAAATGAAAAGCTTTGCACTTTTAAGCACTTGTATTTACCAGGCTGGACATTTTACGACTAACACGGCCCTAAATACAAAATGAAAAGCTTTGCACTTTTAAGCACTTGTATTTACCAGGCTGGACATTTTACGACTAACACGGCCCTAAATACAAAATGAAAAGCTTTGCACTTTTAAGCACTTGTATTTACCAGGCTGGACATTTTACGACTAACACGGCCCTAAACACAAAATGAAAAGCTTTGCACTTTTAAGCACTTGTATTTACCGGGCTGCTGACGAGACATGCCTGACATGAAGGGGGAAGTGGGAGGAGACTGGTGTTGGTTCAGGAAGTGGGAATGTGTTGACGGTGGTTGGTGGGAGAAAGCGGAAGTCGACTGTTGTCCGAAGAGGGAACTTGATGATGATTGTCCTTGTTGTCCGAATGGTGAACTTGGGGGCAACTGTGGTGCTGATTGTTGTTGCAACAACTGCATATATTGTTGCTCCAGTGTCATCTGCGGTTGCTGTTGTTGTTGCTGGTTGTTCATATTAAACATCGATGTGTCTGTCTGGCCGTTCATACCTGTGTAAACATTTACATTGAAATGAGTGTTTAGCTTTACGCTGCTGTTAGCAACATTCCTGCAATTTCAGAGCGGGGGACACCAGAAATGGGCATCAGAAATGGGCATCACACATTGTACCCATGAGGGGAATCGAATCCGGGTCTTCCGCGTGTCTCTTTAACCACTAAGCAACACCACCGTCCCTTACAGTACTAAACACAAATGAATCGAAATCAGAAAATGGTATATGACAAGCAAATGGCTATTTAGATAATAATTTTGGTATAAGTATTAAAAATACAAATGGTATTATTAAGAGATATTTCTAGGTCTAAAACAAATATCATTTATCGGTTTTACGTGACGGCATCCTACAAATAGCATAGACCAGAATATCCGGTGACTGCGTAACTGTCATCATAAGCATTTATCTTCGCATATCGGAGTGGATGCAATCAAGCATCACTAAACACCCACAATGACCAACTAATCCACTAAATCGCATTAACGGCCGATTTGGGGGCCCGTTCAACAAAGCGTTCGTAGCCCTACGTCATTCGTAAACCTGTGACAAACGACATAGTTACTACAGCTAGTAACGATACGAACGCTTTGTGGATCGGGCGCTGATTTGTAGACAATCTCTCGATTACGTGGCAATGCTTATTCTAGATCTGTTACAAACACTATTTACCATGCATGTTACCCATTCTAGCGGCGTCGGCCATTGCTGGAGCTGGAGCATGCATCCTTCCTGTAAACCAAGAAAGAGATGATAGCTTGTTTGCTACTTAACGTCACACCCGTGAAGATCTGGGTTAGAATTGGCCTTCAGGAACCCATGCTTGTCGTAAGAGGCGACACAAGGGATCGGGTAGTCAAGCTCGCTGACCGCCGCCATAAAGCTGGAATAATTCTGAGTGCGGCGTTATACAACAAACCAACAAACATAACTTAACGTCACAGTTACCATTAATCCAGCAGTGACATTAAATCTGAAGATGAATGAATCAGAAGATGATACGAATAGTATATATATGACAACGATTGTACATGCAATCAGTCAATACGAATAGGTCGTCCTGTACAGTAGATAAATATGATTTATACCTTGTGTAAATCTTGGTTGGCTGCGGTAGGGTTTTACATGCATAACACTTCGTATGGACACACAAACTCTGGCAGTGGCCCTTTTAAATGTTTTCCACAGCTCTTTGTCCGTGTGCCAAACTGGAAATCTTTTAGGTGGATTAGTTAAGACTATAAATATTCTCTTGCAATAGTGTTTTATATTTACGGATTATTCATTATTACTATGATGTTTTATATTTAAAGGGTTATTATTTTTAAAACAACAACTTATATACATCATAAGGATTACAATATAGACAAACTTTATGGATAACATCTGAGTGAGTGAGTAAACTGCTTGACAATGGTACAAGAATCTGTATCAAAAAGACACGAAACATGGAAGTTCTTATAAAATGTCCTTATTGATCTTCCCATCTTCTACAATGCCAGGCAAAGAGTTTAAAGAATTTATTGAGCAATACCATGACAGTTATATGTACAGGATTATTGACAAGGACTCACCATTCATTTGTCCCATAGCAAAAAGTTGTTGATTCTGCATGTTAGTCTGGTCGGGGAATCCTTGGTTGGCAGTAGTTTGACTTTGCTGACTCTGTGGCCACTGTCCACTGGATTGATGAGCCTGAATCGGCATATCTTGTCTGCCGAATGCTGTCATCTGTTGCTGGGGCCATTGGTGGTGTGCTGGAGGGTTATTGGGAAGAGGCACCTGGAGATCTGGGAAGAGTCCTTGCTGTTGGTTTCTTTGCCCCAACATCTGGGCTTCCATCTGGTACACCATCCGTTGAGCCCTCATGGCAGCTTCCTGGGGGCTGATCGCTGCAGCAGGACCGGCAGTAGGCGCAGATGGAACTGGCTGGGATGGCTGAACCGGTTGAACGGGTTGAACTGGCTGAACTGGTTGAACTGGTTGAACTGGCTTAGGTGGTTGGGTTGGTTGAGCTGGTTGAGTTGGTTGAGCTGGTTGAGTTGGTGGAACTGGCTGTGATGATTGACTTGGTTGACTTGGTTGACTTGACGGACTTGACTGAAATTGCTGCCCTGGTTGATCTGGGATATATTCTTGTTGATTTGGCGGTAGAGAAGTTGGCAAATGAACTGTTAGAAACAAGATCAATAAGAGTTTTAAATTACTACAGTAATCAGTTGTGTTATTTGACATAAATGCATCTATTAAACGAAATCAGATGTTCTGCCCTGTTTCATACAACATAACCAATGTCTGATACTGTTTTACTTGTAGTGTAATATATGTCTTTGCAATTTTGAACATTTATTAAATCCATGTTGTTTTATGACAGTGCTGTACGTTTCAAATATAGCTTTATGTCAGCTTTATATTAGGTATGTTGAACTTCAAATCGGTTCGTTTACCACGGGTACCACGTTGAAACTTTAAGAATTAGTGCGGTGCTGACGAAGTAATTCTGGGTTCGAACCCATTTACCATCGGATGCTGACATACAGATGTGGTCTGCAAGGCTAAATAAGCTGGCATGTGACTTTAAAAGACTATGTTAACAGGCTGATTTAATCTTTCGTTATCATTGCTAGGAGTGTTTGTAAGAAATTCTGTATCTGCATCGGTTATACGTTCCTTCGAATTTCTCGGGTGGGTCCCTAACCACTCTCACGTTGCAATGATGGTATATGACAACTGGAGAAAATGGGTTACTGGTAAGTCATGGGATGGTAAGTATGAAGTGGTGAGTAAACATGCTAGTTGACAACAGTATTCCGGGGGTCACAGGGCTGTGCGGAGTTGAGGGTAGGCTCGCCGTGGCTATGGGTCAGGAGTGGGGTTGTGGGTTGGGAGCAGGGCTGTGGGTCAGGAGCGGAGTTTGGGGTTGTGGGTAGGAGCTGTTGTGGGTAGGGGGCAGGGCTGTGGGTCAGGAGCGGAGTTGGGGGTAGGGGCAGGGCAGGGTCAGGAGTGTGGGTCAGGGGGCAGGGCTGTGGGTTGGGAGCGGGGTTGGGGTAGGGGGCAGGGCTGTGGGTCAGGAGCGGGGTTGGGGGCTGGGGGCAGGGCTGGGGTCAGGAGCGGAGTGGGGGTTGCAGGGTGTGGGTCAGGAGCAGGGCTGTGGGTTGGGGGAGTCAGGGGTTCAGGGGTTGGGGGAGGGTTGGGGTTAGGAGCTGGGTTGGGGGTTGGGGAGGGTTGTGGTGAGGACAGGGTTGGGGTAGGGGGGGCCGGGCTGTGGGTCAGGAGCAGGGTTGAAGGTGGGGTGGCCGAACAATGGGTCAGGAGCGGAGTTGAGGGTAAAGTGGCAGGGCTGTGGGTCAGGAGTAGAGTTGAGGGTAGAGTGGCAGGGCTGTGGGTCAGGAGCAGAGTTAAGGGTAGGGTGGCAGGGCTGTGGGTCAGGAGTAGAGTTGAGGGTAGAGTGGCAGGAGTTACAGGTAGAGTATTAGGGTTTGTGGGTTAGGAACCTGGTTTGGGCAGGGGAATCTTGATGCATGATCAGGGTTCGGGCAAAGTCATCAGGAGGGTCGAGGTAAAGATGTGGGGGTTAATGGTTGGGTGACAGGGATTCAGGGTGGGATACACGGGTTCATCTGTGGGTCTAATACTGGTACCTGAGAATCCATACGGGAAGTATCCTCCCGATAGTGAATTTACTGTCAGAAATAAAGTGAAGTAAAATGGTTTGTAACAGGCAAATGTTAACAGTTTCAAATCAAGATCTCGTGATATGCACAATTCACTGTACAGAACACGTCTGTGCGCATATAAGGTTAATGTCGACAGGGGAACTGTGGCTAAACAATTCAGTTCTGATACCCCTGATGTCCACAGATGTGGTTTCAACAAGTAATTACCAAGTTTTTTTCGATGGTACTAATTGTCCAGATTCTTGAAGAAATGTAAGTCAGAGCGACTCAAGGCTTTACTTGTTTACCTGTTTACTTGTTTTCCTGTTTACTTGTTTACTGTATGAGCGGTTAATGGAAACTTATTGTTGTCAGATGTATCCGCTTTTTATTTACCTGCATATGTAGTTTTATACGTTTAACATTATTTGATTTGTATTCGATCAGTGTTCATGTTCTGATATCTTTACGGATCTTTGGACACGAATTTCTTGCAGGTGCGTTACGGGAATTTCGTCACATTCATGTTATTGTACTTACAATATACGAAAAGTAGCAGTAGAGAAAGAAACGAGAGCCATACATTGGTAATATGATGTCATCAATAGGCGCGACGTCATCAATATCTGACGTCACCATAACTGTGACGTAGTAGGGCATTTAAATGATGCTTTTATTACGTCACAGTTATGCATTTAAAAACACATGAAAATTTGTTTTTTTCCTAGCTATGTGAATGAAATCATTATCTTAACTTATTAATAAACACTTTGTATTTTGAGCCAAAAGTATGTGTTTTTCTCTGTCTACAGGAATGCGTACCCAATTCTTGTTTTGTACCTGTAGGTGATGTTCCCCGTACTGGGCTAGCGGTGGGTGCTGGGCTCGATCCTTGAGATCCGCTGGTACTAGGGTTACTGGAACCAGTGTTAACTGTGGGTTGGGCGGGGAGAGGCACGTCCGGTGTGGGTGCAGGAGGACTCATGGTACTGAAGGTTGTGTGTGTGTTGAATTGGCCTGGTTGTTGAGTTGGTGCTCCACCTTCATAAGGAACGCAATAGCTAAATGTTACCAGCAATTGCAGTTATATTTGTTAGATCCATAAAACTATTTGCACCCAATTTCCCCAAACATAGCCAGTAATATTTGATATATTGATTCAATACGTCTCGCAAGAAAAGAACGTCAGTTCCATACATAGTTAATATTTACAGAACTTGCTGTACCTCAAAGGCCTGGGAATGTTACTGGTCCCTTGACAAAAGTTTCGGCGTGCAGGACAGCCAATCAAATTCCATTTAACAATACGAAAACTGATCAATCAAACTGATTGGTTCTAGGACAAGCAATACATGTATTTGCTAGTTGGGCGATATTTGGAGGTGATATTTTATACTAACCACAGCACAAATGGTACAAACATATATGATATCATAATCTACATGTATTTCGGAAAATGAATAATTATTATCGAAATATGGACTTAACAAGCATATTTTCTCTAGTACCAGGTCTGTTAACTTCCGCCTCAATATTATTTTGTTGTTTTACGCCGCACGCAGGAAAATTCCACCTACATGACTGTCTAGCAGAACTACTAATGTCAGATTTGATGTAATGTCAGACCAGTAAACAGAATAACTTTACACATAAATGTGTTAAAGTTTTGTTGAAGAAATTTATTTGAATGTTGTTTTATTTAGTGCATTACGTTGATACTTGAACTGATTAGGGTTGCAAAAATGACATACAGAAACGGCCAAATGAAAAGGTACGACTATGACATGCTGCCAAACGTAATATATGCTCACCAACAGTCGTAACTTAACAACAGAATACATCTGCCGCACTAATGATACTAAAGATTATAATATCATATATGGAGATGGAAGTATCTTCAACATGGAAGAAAGTATCATCTATGTAGATGAAAGTATCGCCTACGCCTTTGATGTTAGCATCAACTATGTTGATGTTAGTTTCAACTACGTTGATGTTAGTTTCAACTACGTTGATGTTAGTATCAACTACGTTGATGTTAGTATCAACTACGTTGATGTTTGTATCAATTACGTTGATGTTAGTTTCAACTACGTTGATGTAAGTATCAACTACGTTGATGTTAGTATCAACTACGCTGATGTTAGTATCAACTACGTTGATGTTAGTTTCAACTACTTTGATGTTAGTATCATCTACGTTGATGTTAGTTTCAACTACTTTGATGTTAGTATCAACTACGTTGATGTTAGCATCAACTACGTTGATGTTAGTATCAACTACGTTGATGTTAGTATCAACTACGTTGATGTTAGTATCAACTACGTTGATGTTAGTATCAACTACGTTGATGTTAGTATCAACTACGTTGATGTTAGTATCAACTACGTTGATGTTAGTATCAACTACTCAACTACGTTGATGTTAGTCAACTACGTTGATGTTAGTATCAACTACGTTGATGTTAGTATCAACTACGTTGATGTTAGTTTCAACTACGTTGATGTTAGTTTCAACTACGTTGATGTAAGTGTAAACTACGTTGATGTTAGTGATGTAAAAATTATAACCTTCACCTGAAAGTTTGAAAAATTCATTCATTCAGAGGTTGGAGATATTCATGGTAAATTCAACACTTTTCAAGATGCATAAAATACCTGATACGTAGATGTTAGTATCAACTACGTTGATGTTAGTATCAACTACGTTGATGTTAGTATCAACTACGTTGATGTTAGTATCAACTACGTAGATGTTAGTATCAACTACGTTGATGTTAGTATCAACTACGTTGATGTTAGTATCAACTACGTTGATGTTAGTATCAACTACTTTCATGTTAGTATCAACTACGTTGATGTTAGTATCAACTATGTTGATGTTAGTATCAACTACGTTGATGTTAGTTTCAACTACGTAGATGTTAGTATCAACTACGTTGATGTTAGTATCAACTACGTTGATGTTAGTATCAACTACGTTGATGTTAGTATCAACTACGTTGATGTTAGTATCAACTACGTTGATGTTAGTATCAACTACGTTGATGTTAGTATCAACTACGTTGATGTTAGTATCAACTACGTTGATGTTAGTATCAACTACGTTGATGTTAGTATCAACTACGTTGATGTTAGTATCAACTACGTTGATGTTAGTTTCAACTACGTTGATGTTAGTATCAACTACGTTGATGTTAGTATCAACTACGTTGATGTTAGTTGATGTTAGTATCAACTACGTTGATGTTGATGTTAGTATCAACTACGTTGATGTTAGTATCAACTACGTTGATGTTAGTATCAACTACGTTGATGTTAGTATCAACTACGTTGATGTTAGTTTCAACTACGTTGATGTTAGTATCATCTACGTTGATGTTAGTATCAACTACGTTGATGTTAGTATCATCTACGTTGATGTTAGTATCAACTACGTTGATGTTAGTATCAACTACGTTGATGTTAGTTTCAACTACGTTGATGTTAGTATCAACTACGTTGATGTTAGTATCAACTACGTTGATGTTAGTTTCAACTACGTTGATGTTAGTTATCAACTACGTTGATGTTAGTATCAACTACGTTGATGTTAGTTTCAACTACATTGATGTTAGTATCATCTACGTAGATTCTTGATGCAAGTATCTGTAACGCGTAAGGAAGTATCTTCTACTTTGGGGATATTTAAGTATTTTCCACACAGAAGATAAAACAGTTTTATACTAGCCTTAACACGCTTCCACAATTTGTTAAACACGCCCTAAACACTACTTCTTCATTCTGCTTCAATCGTATTACAAATAATGAAGTTGACATCCAAAACATATTTGACTCATGTTCATGCAAATGCCCCTGAAGGAACTTGTATAACTGTGTCCCATACATACCCATTGATCCTTGCATGTGGGCTTGGATTTGGGAATTCATGGCTGCAACGAAGCGAAACAATGGTTGGAAATATAAAATAGAATATAATGATTTAAACCTTGTTTAACCTTTAAAGATGCTTTGTGAAAATAGTTTCCCTTGAAGCTTTAAGGAACGAAATTGCAAATAGTTACTTTCATTATTACAGTAGAATATGATTACGTACAAAATTGGTTTGAACTGTACTATGTCATAATGAGGTTTTTTCTTTTTCTGTCACATTAAGTTCACTTGGATATCCATTTATTGTTCATAACGAACAAATAAGTTATAGGTAACGATACATTTCGAACAAATACTCAAATAATTGAAAATACGAGAAAAATTCTGAAAAAATAAATATATGTTCATAAACTCTGTAAAAAAAGAAACGCAACCCCTGTCCTCAGATATGAAAAATTCGTTTGAATGAAGTTATTGCTTCCAAACTAAATTTTATTCGAATGTATTGAAATGATACACGTAATTAATGAAGATTACCATCCAAACAACTGCATTTGTACGCATAAGTGTATTTTATTGCTTATTCCGTCACAACGCATGAAATGACCCTCATGGTGACTTCGCACAAAAAAAACACATGCAAATCATGAAAATGGCAGTTAATGTAGGGGTGTATAAAAGCCCATGTGCTTCCGTATTATATTCATTCATTTGTCGCCGAAAAGCTGTGTTCAAAATGCCACGATTGAGTGCTGCCGACCGAAATATCGCCATTGGTCGTGTTGAAGCCGGAGAAAGTTTTGGAACTGTTGCACGGCACCTAAATGTTCACAAAACAACGATATCCCGACTTTGGAGCCGCTACAACAACTTCAATTTGACCAACGATCGCCCGAGAAGTGGAAGGCCAAGAATCACGACCCCACTTCAAGATCGGTACATCCGGGTCCATCACCTGCGTAATCGGCATGCCCTACCAACCGTGACTGCCACACAAATACCAGGTTTGAGGAGAGTGTCAGCTCAAACGATTAGGAACCGTCTGAAAGAAGCGGGTTTACGTGCCTGTAGACCAGTTGTTGGACCTGTACTACGCCCCTACATCGACGCCGACGACTCAGGTGGTGCAACAACGTAAGGATACGGACTTTACAAAACTGGAGGCGAATCTGGTTTTCTGATGAATCACGTTTTCTTTGCAACGTCACGACGGAAGACAGCGTCTGTATAGGAGACGTCATAAACGTTTAGCGCCCATCTGCGTCCGACAGGTGGACAGATTTGGCGGAGAAAGCGTCATGGTTTGGGGAACCATCTCATACAACCAGAAATCTGACTTGGTGATCGTTCCAGGGAACCTGACAGCCCAACGTTACATCAACCACGTGTTAGAGCTTCACCTTCTCCCGATTATTGACCAACAGACACAGATTTTTCAACGGGACAACGCCCGGCCTCATACTGCACGTGCAACAATGAACTTTCTGCAGAATTCCAACGTCAATGTCTTGCCATGACCCTCTAAATCACCAGACCTCAACCCTATTGAACACCTGTGGATACTCTGGATCGACGCGTACGTCAACGTCAGCCGCCGCCACAGACGCTGCAACAGCTCGCCGTTGCACTGCAGGAGGAGTGGAGAGCCATTCCCAGGAAAGAATCCGGCGTCTTATCCGTTCTTGTCCAAGGAGATGCCGTGCAGTGATTGCAGCGCGTGGTGCTCATACGAGATACTGAGACAGACGCCCCCCTGGTGACAAACTGGTGTCTGTGAGATGACTTTTGAAATGACAATTTTAAACATGCCCATCTGGGTTATTATTCTGCCAAATTTCAGACTTCTGTCTTCAATAATAAAAATGCCGTGTCGTCCTAAAACTTCAGATCAAAATCTCTAAAATACAGGGGTTGCGTTTCTTTTTTGACAGAGTTTATATTATATAAAAGGAAAAGGCCTTAGTGCCATAGTGTTGGTTTTCACCATTGAAATTAGATCTTGCTTGTTGCATCATCGCCTCATATCGCGCTGAAACAGAAACAGTAAAATGCGTCATCACAATTTGCCCTCAAAGCGAATATTTATCAAACGAGAAACAATTATCTCTTTGCGTTGTTTGCGTTATTATCTGTTAAGAAAGGAATCGTTCTTAGCGCTGATGTTTTAAAATTAAAATTTGGGGTGGTGCAGATCAGATTTCATGATGGTAAATCAAATGTACACACCAAATTACCTACCAAACACACACTGGTGTGCATGTGATTCCATTTGTTTTTATAAAAATAAGCAATAGGTCAAGAAATTGTAGTGGATATCTGTTTTCTGATTGTGTGATAATAGGGGCTTGTGTCCCATAATAACACAATATGATGTCCGGCATTGACTTCCAACCGTTCATCTCCACCTTTAACAGTTTATTGTGATAAAACTGACAGTTACTCTCTACGAAGGTTATAAGTCTCGTGTATGTTGATAAAAAAGGACTTCAAACTTCTAAAGACAATCAAAGCACAGTTCAATGTTTACAATGTTGTGTTGTTTAATTTTTGTATCATCGATCAATCAAAGGGAACGATTTCTTTATGGATAGACGTATTGATTGCATTAGATGCGTCGTTTCGGTGTAGATACTAACACCTTTCGTTAGTATCATACCCCGAAGCTCATGATGTCGGTCACTGGATTGTCTGTCCCGGACACGATTATGTACAGACCGCCGCCAAATAGTTGGAATATTGCTGAGTGCGGCGTAAAACAACAAAGCAACAAACCAATCGTTTGTACCTACACCGAAACGTCGCCTCTATTGTAATAAAGAGGTTGTTTGTTGATAAAGAAACTCATCATGCCAGCTTCTAAATGCCACTCAAAGTGAGTGAGTGAGTGAGTGAGTGAGTGAGTTTAGTTTTACGCCACACTCAGGAATATGCCAGCTATATGGCGTCAGTCTGTAAATAATCGAGTCTGGGACCAGACAATCCAGTGATCAACAGCATGGGCATCGATCTGCGCAATTTGAACCGATGACATGTGTCTACCAAGCCAGCGAGCCTGACCACCCGATCCCGCTAGTCGCCTCTTACGACAAGCATGGGTTACTGAAGGTTCATTCAGACCCGGACCTTCACGGGTGCCACTCAAAGATGTTATCAGTCCATGTAAGATTTAGGTTTAAGGACTTACCGGCTGCCTGCTGCATCATTGCGAGTTGTGCCGCTGAATCTAAACAAGATACAAGACATGAATTGAATGACAGTACTCTATCTACTCGGTAAAATTCATGGACTCGAAAGTCAAAATTGAATGCGCAAACAAGAAGAAGAATCTCTAATACACTCTATCGAGACATTTTGTCGACGAATCATGATGCACGTCCACAGTTTGTACCGTATGTTGTCAATGTTTTTTCAGGTGGAAATTTGACTTGCCGTTGTGTGTGTTTGTATGTGTGCCACGGGCGAGGCAGGATAAACATTTTGACGAACAGCTGGTAGCATTGCTATTTCTGACTCACATTTATTTGTTATTCATGAACACATGTTTATTCATTCTCGATATAACCAAAATAGTAAAATGTTTCGGTATTCTTTGCAGTGATTTCACATGAATTTGGTACCAATTTTGCTGTTTTTACATGTTGATTTGTACCAACAGCAGATATTGAAATCTGAGCGGAATTAACAGTAGAGAACACACTATAGTTATACAGACTAGATTATGTCAGGACCTACCATTGGGTTGCTGCATCATCCCAGGCTGTGCGTCTGAAAGTATACACAGAGAAATACATGAAGGCTTTGGTTGAATAGAGTTGGAAGTTGTCCATGATTATGAATTTCATTTTTACTCGAAGAATAGCTCCTTCCATACCCTTGACATGCAAACTGCAGTACCAAATTTAAAAAAAAAGAAAACTTATATTTTCAAACATTTGGGAGCTTGCGGAGATGTGTAAATTGGCTGAATTGGTGAATTGATGAAATATAGTACCGAGCTTTAAATGACTGAATAATCTATCCACTCATCCCATGCACAGCAATCTTCCTGTTTCCTCAGCAAGGATGGAAATTCTGTCCTGTCTACAAGTTACTGAGCAAAGACAGTGCTATAAAAGCACCGTAGTAAGGCGTGCAGGTTACACAGCATACTGTTTCACAAAATGTATGGCTTAGTTAAAATCATCTTCCTTAAAGAGAATAACATTTTTAAGAAACATACATTTCACCATTTACACAGGCAATGGCTTTCTTTGGTTAATTCTGTGTGTTCTTGTACAGCCATCGGTCGAATACATACCTAGTCTTTCAAGAATATGTGTGGTATATTATTACATTTTTGTGAAGATGTAAAACGACAACTGAAACCAAAACATAAGCTTGGCAATCAGAATATGCAGCTGGCATTCAATAGCCTTGTAATGAAGACAAAGGTGTTGCACGTATATCGATAGATAAAGCACTAACGCCACAGTTCCACATTTTAGCTTTATGTTACTAAATGCCTCACACAGCTCTCCTTAACTACTGACACCAAAGCGTCTAAATGCAACCATAGTAACCAACGACAAACTAATCCACATCCCAACTATTTAGATGGAGTGAGTGACCGAGCGAGACAGGTTCCAAAGGTGAAGATCTCAGATACATTCAATGAAATATAATTGGTATTGTTTCCGTGATTTTTAAATTATTTAATTGTTGTTTTGTTTGGGGGAAGGGAATATGCCAGCCCCTTTAAAATATAGAATATGGCCGTTACTCCACCGGTCAAGAGTTGAAAGCGGTAGTCATTGCTTACCATGGTCAAGCTAAAACCCAGCATTTACTTACCAATAATGTATGGACATACAAAAAAATAAATTAAATAAAACCCTTCCCAGGAATCTATAGGTTTTATGGAGAGCATCACACACCACTTAGCTGCTGTTAGCAATGTAAATAATACCGATAAAACCGTTTCCACATCCACAAAATTGTCGCATATCGGTTGGTCCCTATCAAAGGTCAAGTCTTCTAAGAAGCAGCAATATAGGTAATATCCTTGGCACAAGTATCAGCTGTGATTGATGTAAATGTAAGCGTCAAAACCCTTTCCATATCCACAACAGTTCCAGGGCTGAGGCATGACAGCTGGTACTTGTAAACATAGAAAAGCAACAGAGCAGTTCAATTCCTTCCCACAAGCGATACACTACTAATGAGCTTTAACCATATATACCGTTCGTATTGGTCCCATTTCCAGGTTGACTTGTTGTTTTTCTTTAAAACATAAAACATTGGAATCCAAATAACATTTAGTACTAACGTGTGTTTGAGTTGAAAAAACAGCATTTGTCAGATTACATTATATTCTAATTTCTCAGCAACGCACAGATTCTAGAACCATTTTTAGGAGTTGTATTCTATTTTTGATTCGAACATAAACTCTCAGAGAGAGGCACCAGTTGACGAAGTCAGCAATCTAACCCACTCAGCCAGCTGCTAGTAAAACGTAGTAACGTAAACAGTGCTGAAGTAAGACGAGTAAGAGTAAGAATGTGGGTGAAAAGTTAGACGGTGCCTCCAGTAACATTTTAACAGTATTGGGATAGTTGAATTGTGTTGTAGTAAAACATTGAAAATTGATGGGTTAAGATTGTGTGCGTGTGAGTGAGTATGGTTTTACGCCGCTTTTAGCAATATTCAAGCAATATCACGGAGTGGGACACCAGAAATGGGCTTCACACATTTTACCCATGTGGGGAAACGAACCAGGGTCTTCGGCGTGACGAGCGAACGCCTTAACCACTAGGCTACCCAACCGCCCCTGTTGGGTTAAGAGTGTGTGTGAGTGAGTATGGTTTTACGCTGCTTTTAGCAATATTCAAGCAATATCACGGAGTGGGACACCAGAAATGGGCTTCACACATTTTACCCATGTGGGGAATCGAACCAGGGTCTTCGGCGTGACGAGCGAACGCCTTAACCACTAGGCTACCCAACCGCTCCTGTTGGATTAAGAGTGTGTGTGAGTGAGTATGGTTTTACGCCGCTTTTAGCAATATTCAAGCAATATCACGGAGTGGGACACCAGAAATGGGCTTCACACATTTTACCCATGTGGGGAATCGAACCAGGGTCTTCGGCGTGACGAGCGAACGCCTTAACCACTAGGCTACCCAACCGCTCCTGTTGGATTAAGAGTGTGTGTGAGTGAGTATGGTTTTACGCCGCTTTTAGCAATATTCAAGCAATATCACGGAGTGGGACACCAGAAATGGGCTTCACACATTTTACCCATGTGGGGAATCGAACCAGGGTCTTCGGCGTGACGAGCGAACGCCTTAACCACTAGGCTACCCAACCGCTCCTGTTGGATTAAGAGTGTGTGTGAGTGAGTATGGTTTTACGCCGCTTTTAGCAATATTCAAGCAATATCACGGAGTGGGGACACCAGAAATGGGCTTCACACATTTTACCCATGTGGGGAATCGAACCAGGGTCTTCGGCGTGACGAGCGAACGCCTTAACCACTAGGCTACCCAACCGCTCCTGTTGGATTAAGAGTGTGTGTGAGTGAGTATGGTTTTACGCCGCTTTTAGCAATATTCAAGCAATATCACGGAGTGGGACACCAGAAATGGGCTTCACACATTTTACCCATGTGGGGAATCGAACCAGGGTCTTCGGCGTGACGAGCGAACGCCTTAACCACTAGGCTACCCAACCGCTCCTGTTGGATTAAGAGTGTGTGTGAGTGAGTATGGTTTTACGCCGCTTTTAGCAATATTCAAGCAATATCACGGAGTGGGACACCAGAAATGGGCTTCACACATTTTACCCATGTGGGGAATCGAACCCGGGTCTTCGGCGTGACTAGCGTACGGTTTAGCTACAAGGCTACTCTACCGCCCTGTTGGGTTAAGAAGTAGAGACTGTTAATATAAGGATTACACATTGTTTCGGTAAGAATTAAACATGGTTGGATTGAAACAATCATCGTTCTCCAAGTAAGGAATAACCATTTTCAGTATTTGATTTCCGATCTTTATCATTTTAGAACACAAACAGTGCCAACTGCTTTGAGACTTGCAAATGCGTAATTGACTTTCTGAAACATTTATTACCATTTAAAATCAGGAAGTCTGCTTCAGAACGTGTCTTGTGAGTCATTCACTATTCTATTTTAGAGCATATTCCGTGTAGCGACCGTTGATGAAGGTGACAAGTTCATAGACTCGTCATTAATCACGACACGTGACAAACTACAATTATGATGGATACATCATGACAGAGCCCCTTTGATCACGACAGAATCTTTTGCTAAAAATAGTTTTGAATAGTTTCGGGAACAAATGGCTGGTGAAAAAGATTATTTTATATATACAAGCGAGTCCGGTAATTCTACGCAGCTGCAATAGCATACTTGAGTATCGAAGGTAAACATCGTCTGCTACCACATTTACGCTTGAAATCGGGACATTTCTACAAGAGACTGGCTTTTAATCACTGAAGGTAAGCAAATAACACTGTACCAGTAATTGACAGATAAATCGACAGTTTTATGAAAATGCGTTTTCTTCAGACTTTTAAACCTTTTTCTTCATTATTCATAATTGGATTTAATATGAAACACTTTTCCTTACATTGATGAAGTGATTTTATTGAAAATAATCTGGCCCTAATACGCTTCCATACTTCGGATCTCCAACTGGATGTTATGCGCATCAGATGCTGCGCAGAATTACCGGACAGCAAGCGATGTCGTCAGAACGCCAGTAAGGTGAACTGGTATGGCATAATGCAAAGTTAGAATCTTATAGTCGTCCTTACATTGATGAAGTAAATATGTAAATATGATGCATACCAGCATGTTTAGTCATGTAAACCACCAAAAAAGAGACGTTAGTTGCCGTGTTGCGATCGATGTGCTTAGATGCGCGGACTTACCAGTCGGCATTGTATCTTATGTAAGACGGAAAATAGAGGCTTTATCTACTGCTTTGTTTGTTTGTTGTTTGAGGCCGTACCCAGTATTATTCCAGTATTATAACACTATAGACAGATTCGACAATCCAGTGACGAATATTATGAGCACCGACCTCGGCATCGGGGTTCCATGACGCGTTCCCGTGAGCATCCGGATTAGAGATTGTCTTCAGCATCTCATTCACGACAAACGGGATCGCATGGCCACGCCCACAAACCTGGTTTATACATGTCGTAGCACACC